TTCCTTCTTCCCTCCCGCTGTGCTTCCCTCCCCTTTCTCCCTCCCCTTCCCTCCCCTTCTTCACCCATTTCTTCCCTCCCTCCCTTCCCTCCTACATCTTTCTTCCCTTCCTCCTTTCCTCCCTCCCTCCCTTCCTCCCTTCCCTCTCCTTCTTCATGCCCAATTTCTTCCCTCCTTCCTCCCTCCCTTCCTTCCTCCCTTCCCTTCCCTTCTTCACCTCCAATTCTTCCTTCCTCCTTCCTGCTCACCGTGCTTCCCTCCCCTTTCTCCCTCCTTCCCTCTCTTCCCTTCCCTTCTTCACCCACATCTCCCTCCCTCCCTCCCCTTCTCTCTGAGCCTGGCTGTTCCCTTGCAGACATTTCACAACCCAGCTAAGTAACGTTATCAGGGCTAACCCATTGGAAATGGGGACTCCCGAATTCCAAGAACGGGGTGCAACCCTCAGCGTTGGCCAGAGGTGTTGGCCAGCCCTGGGGGGGGGGGCAAGCCCTCCCCCCTTTTCTCACTGCCCCCCTCCTTCTACCACCCCACCCGCAGGAGACTTCGCAGCCCTGCTCCACGCCGGCCTGAGCGTCAAGAGGGCCCTTCTACTCAACTTCGTGAGCGCCCTCACGGCCTTCCTCGGGCTCTACATCGCCCTGTCGGTCAGCACCGGGGAGGAGTTCGAGGCATGGATCTTCACGGTGGCCACGGGCCTCTTCCTCTACGTGGCCTTGTGCGATATGGTAAGTGGCCCCCTCCACCCCGGGGTCTCTGGGCCTCTGGCTCTGTGGAGGAGTTGCTGGGCCAAGGCTGGGAGTTATGGAGGTTGGAACCCCAAAGGGGTGGAAAAGGAGTCTTAGAACCGGGGTAACTAGAACGCAAATCCGGAGGTTCCCTGAGGGTTACTCCTTGTAGAATAAATGAATAGTAGGGAGTTCACCAAAGCAATGGAAGAATGGAAGGGTCTTCCAGTCTACATTGGAAGAGCGGGAGATGGGGAAATTATTTCTTTATATCCCACCTTTAGTATTATTTATAAATAACTCAAAGCAGCGAACCTGCCTAATGCAGCCTTTCTCTGCCTTTCTCCCCCTACAACAACCCTGTGAAGTAGATCAGGCTGAAAAGCATTGGCCCAAAGTCACCCAGCTGGCTTTCGTGCCCGAGGCGGAACTAGAACTCACCACCTCCTGTGGATTGGCCCCAAAGTTACCTAGCTCAGGCTTAAGATAGGACTAGAACTCCCCATCTCCTGTGGATTGGCCCAAAGTCCACCTTTTTTTCCCCGGTGCCGTTGTAACTTCGAACCGTCGTAAATTCGAGGACTCCCTCTGACCACGTATGACCACGCTCGCTTTCTCGCTCTGCTCTCCCTGCAGCTTCCGGCCCTGATGAACGTGAAGGACAAACGTCCCTGGTTGCTTTTCGCCCTGCAGAACCTGGGCCTCCTGTCCGGCTGGGCGATCCTTCTGGTGCTTTCCCTCTTCGAGGAGAATATCACCCTTTAAACTGCAACCCCCCCTCGCCCCCCCCCCCCACATCCCCTGCCACCACACCCCACCCCGGCAGGCACGGCCAAATCGGGGCCAGAAAATCGGGGCTGCGGTGTTTGGGGGGTGGGGGGCACAGCCAGACCCACCAGCTGCCAGGGGAGGCACACACACCTGTCAGGCTTCCTCTGAGGCTCGGCCGTCCAGCTCACCTTCCCTGACCTCTTGCCCCAAAATCCCTCTCAGACACGGCCTGAGTCCTGAGGGCCGAAGAAGGAAGAAGCCGCCACGGCCACCTGAAGACCAGTCCACCGCAGTGGACAGAAAGGAAAGCTCGGCCCTGGGTTCTAATTTCCTCTCTCTGGGCTGTCTTGAGTCGGTGGACACTGAGCCATTCTCTTTGGGGGCATCTCCAGGGTCCACCTGGCCAGTTTCAATTTTTACACCAGCACACCTTGGAAGGATGTTTATCCTGCCTTCGCCTCCTATTTATTGTATTTATTAAATTGTTATTCTTGTTCAGACACATAGATACACCTATCTTCCTCCTCCTCCTCCTCCTCCTCCTCCTCCTCCCCCTCTCCACAAACCCCTCTCTAGCACTGATGATGTTGCCTAATTGCGTCATGAAACGTCTGCAAGAAAACCACCAAGTTCAGAGAGGACCCCACAGTCCTCCTCCTCCTCCTCTTCTTCTTCTTCCTCCTCCTCCTCCTCTTCTTCTTCCTCCTCCTCTCCTCCTCTTCCTCCTCCTCCTCCTCCTCCTCTCC